CACACTTTCAGTTACGATTTAACACATGATCCCATGCATATTTCTTCAAAAGCAAGCCTCCCTGAGATGTTTCTTTTCTTTCTAATACATGTGTGAAGGATTGGAGAAGTAGTCTCATTAGGCTTACCATTAAGAAAGATGAAAGCACAGCATTGATGCCTTAGTTACTCTTCATTCTACCTGAGAAAGACTTCTGCTTAATAAAAAAGCCCACATATTCCCACATATCTTTGGAAAGAAAACTGGTAGTCAACAAAAAATATTACTAACTGGCCTCATTATGTTTTTTTTAAAGTCTGATAGCCTGAATGTGCATGTGTGAATAACTTCCAATTTATCAAAAGCTTACGTGGTCAGAAAATAATTTTACAGACCATTTCGCAAACTTAGCCATTTCGCAAACTTAGCCTTGCATAAATGGAATTTGAATTCATGAAGAAATTGACATCATTTTACATGGCCATTTTGCAAACTTAGACTTGCAATTTGAATTTGAATTCATGAAGAAATTGACATCATTTTACATATTTTGTGAATTCTTGACCAGTATTGGCCACAATAATCTGTAATAACAAACCCCCTGACTTCCATATAATCTGGGTCTTCTTGCATTTGGGGATCATGTTAGGTCTCAAATTGCATTTGCGGAGTCCCTTAGAACCACCGCATAGCTTCCCTGTCCTGGAGGACCTTTAATCTTGATGGCACTGCCAGTGAGATTGCATGAGAATAGGCAAGCCTGCAGAAGGGCAAGAGCCCTGTATGTGGTGGGTTAATTATCATTTAGGAATTCAGCGCTGGAATGGGCCCTATGGATCATCAACTCCAGCCTCTGTCAAGGAGGAACCCTGGGGAATCGAACTCCCAGCCTCTGAGTCAGCAGCCAGATGCTTAAACCACTGAGCAGTTAATCATGCAATTCTTCACAAATTCATTGCAGCAATCTTCCTCTATCAGGCATTCTGCTGACAAGTTGGACCATGGCCCCTTCATTCTGGCCAGCACACTAGCTGGGGTGATGGGCATTGTGGTCCAATACGTCTGGAAGGCTGTTGGGTAGGAGAAATCTATGCTAGAGCTTTCATTTGGAACACCCAACCCAAGCAAAACAACACTCTGGTTGTCTCTGGTCTCAAGATAGATGCAATCTATCCAGAATTGGTCTGGGTGAAGGGCCTCCCGCTAGCATCTCACCTGACCAATTTACAGCATTTTAAAAATCTAAAATGGAGGCCATCCGCCGTGACCTTTCTCCTTTTTTAAATACAATGGATCGAGCAGGGATGTCCAGCGCTCCGCCTTGCCTGGTAATTCTTGACTCCTTTCAGCCTGTAACATCGGATTTGGGAGACAAGGCGTTTGATCGCTGTCGGGCCACCACCTCTTCTCTCAACCCTTACCCGGCCTGGCTAATCAAAGCAGCCAGGCCCGTAACAACCGAATGGGCCACTGCAATAATTAATGGGTCTCTTCAGGAGGGCAAGGTACCCCTTGCCCTCAAGGAGACACTAATTAGGCCCATTAGGAAGAAACCAAATTTGGTGACGGACGGCATTGGAAATTATAAGCCCGTTGCCAATGTTTCTTTCCTTAGCAAAGTGGTTGAGAGGGTGGTGGCAGATCAGCTCCAGGCGCTCTTGGACGAAACCAATGGAACTGCGCATAGTGTCAGGGATCTATTAAAAATTACAGTCCATATCCCGGCTAGCTGATCAGCACAGTCTTTTACCACCCGACCAGGAATTAAGTCGGGTCCAGCTGCTTTTCTGGAGTTAACCACTTTCATAGTCTGTCTCACATCCTGCTCATTCACAATGAAGGGGGGACTCTGCTGAGTAAATGATGGCAAACGAACAGTTTCAGTTTGATCGATCTCGAATCGAGCAAAAAAGTTGTTCAACTCCTCAGCCACCTCCACGCCTCCGCCCGAGGAAACCTTTTTTGCTTTGTAGTTTGTTAGTTGTTGAACCCCCTGCCAAACTTGCCTCATGTTATTGCTGAGAAAGCAGTCTTCAATTCTCCTCTTGTATTTGGCCTTAGCTTGCTTAATGCCTCTCCTCAAATCAAAAAGTCCAAGAAAATAAATTGCAAATTGAGAAGTTAGATGAAAAAATGACAGAAAACAAAAAAGAACTGGCAAGACTGAAAGAGGATATGAAAAAACCCAAGACGCTTCGAAGATATATACAGATGCAACATTGGTATTGGAAATGGACAGAGATTCAAACATTCTTAGATTTCATAATGTTCCTGAAAATAAAGACATTGAACTCTCTGATCAAATGGAAGAAGCCTTGGCGGAACTTTTAGATATGGAGAAATTCCAGATGAGGCAAGAAATTGTCCAGATATTTAGAATTAACTCAAGCTTTGCAAAGAAGAATAAGACCCCGAGGGATTTTCATATAGTCTTCCTGAAGAGGAAAGTTAAAGAAGATATTTTGAGGAGGCTAAGAGAAAACCCATTAAAGATCCAAGATAAAGAAATAGAAGTTTTAAATCAGATTCCATGGAAAATTTGAGAGATTAGAAAACAATACTTATTTCTAACGAAAAAACTAATCACCTGACACAGCCAGCAGGGACGGCTGAGGGGTCTGACGCCGAGGGAGGCCCGGAAGGAAAAAACAAGAAATCGGGCGTTCTTGGCGGTGGCCCCTCGGCTGTGGAACACTCTCCCCACCGAAATTCGGCTGGCACCCTCGCTGGGCGTTTTCAAAACCCAGCTGAAAACTTGGCTACTCAAGCAGGCCTTCCCTTCAGTCAATTAAGTCATTCTTATTTCTTATTTCTCTTCTTTTATTTTTCCCATCTTGGGACTGTTTGCTTTAAATTAATTGTTAAAATTGTAAATTTATGATATTATATATTATATCATTTTGTTTTTTTAATTTAAAACTGTGTATATTTTAAATTGTTTTTATCTTTTATGTTGTAAGCAGCCCAGAGTAGACTATGTCTAGATGGGTAGCATATAAATTCAATAAATAAATAAATAAATAAACTCAGTCCATCAGACTTATGCAGTCACCCACATTCAGGAAGCAGACTGAAGGAACACACTGAGATCCTGAAGCCCACGTAACACCCTCCTGCCTTTAACTTTATGACAATGCAAACAAAAGCAAACTCAAGAGTAACCAATGAGAATGCTTTTGTGTCATTACTAAGAAATGTGCAAAAACCACTAGAACCACAACCTTAATCTCTGCATCTATTAAGTAGATCTTTAGCCAGGAAGGGGGCAACACATTTCAATTTCTGGCCTCTCCCCCCCCCCTTCTTTCTTTTCCAAAGATCAAGATGGAGGCTAAAGTCTTACCCTATAGAATCTAGCAGCTCTTCCAAATTAGGTGCACAGCACAGGTAGTCCTGCAAATATTTGGCATCAACAAATGGGCATAGCAGGGAAGGGGGTAGGTTAGTGAGAAAGGACCCAATCTTCAAGTTGTCATTTGTACTTCCGTGACGGGGGGGGGGGATGGCAATTCCAGCAGGCGCCATTTCTCTCATCCCTGCCTTGTCACGACTATGTCCCTGCTGAAAACTGTTCTTTTTTCCTAACAACATCAAGCCCGGGAGCCTGGCCTTCTACAGCACATGCACATACTTTTTTTTTGGGGGGGGGACCTAGGTGACCTTGAGCAAGGCTATTTTGTCATGTTTCTGTGGGCCTTACCTGGTCAATAAAGATAATAGGGGGCCACACTGTCACTGTGGTGGAGAAAAGCAAACACAGTGGTTGGGAGGTGGGGGGAGAGAGTAGAGAATAAAGAACAGATATTGACAGTAGGGGTGGAGTGAGGCAAGAATCCTTTAAGACTATCCTCTCTCCTTGAGGTTTGGTAATAGGGTCCCTGCAGGTATTTTTGACAACACTCCTCCTCCCTCCCCACCCCAATTATCTGGGTGAGGGCTTGTCAGCCTCATCCCACTATTTCAGCTCTTCACCAGGAGTTGTTTATCCCAAATGAGGCCTGGTAGGCTTGGCTGCTGTGAAGCAATGATAAATATGGAACAAAGGAGAAGCGTGTGCAGAAAGGGGGGGCACAGGGTGAAAAACAATGGCTTGGTGAGGGGGGGGAAGGCTTTATTGACAGCTTTCAGGTTCCTCACCAGAATCCCATACATCTTTCCCTTATCCCTCTGCACACACCCCACAAACATCAACCCCCAATCTCCCCCGCTTTTTTTCTCCCTGAGCCCCGGGGTTTTAATCTTACCCTCTGAAGACCCGCAACAGTGCAGGACCTAAACATTATCCCCCCTCCTACGATGACAGAGGTGGGCAGCTAAGTTTCAGCCTCTCGTGACCCAATTCTATGCCGGCTCCCCACTTCTCGGTGC